TGTATCTCTGAGCCTCATTCTCATCGTAGAATGAAAATCCAATAGAGAGCCTCTTTTAAGGAGTTGTAAGAATGAAATGCTATAAAGTAAATCAAGTGTGCAGTAAGTGCCTGCCACGCAGAAACATGTTATCCAGCTATTATTACTACTGAGCAAAAAACAGAAGGGTGGGAGCAGAAGTTGCTGGTCCAAGCCCATGCACAAAGGTTGTTGTTGGTGGTGTGTTTATTGGATGCTTAGACCTGCATAGGTGTTCTGACATTGGTGTTTTGTTTTTGTTCAGTAGGTGAGTGGTGCTTTCTATCCAACACTAGCACGATACCTTGGCTTGGTCCTTCTGTTACATGGTCTGAAAAGAAATGTGTAAAAAAAAGCTGTAAGCTGTTGCAGGCTTTCAGTTTGGGGAACATACCTTACCTCAAGAAAATAATCCCAAATCACTTTATAAATATATTAGTTTTGATGCCAGCCATTAAGAGAGTAACTAAGTAATCTACATCATGTTAGTGATGGAACAATAGCCATTTAAAATAGCAAGCAGGCCAGGGATTTAGCTCAGTGGTACTGCACCTGCCTTGCAAGCTCAAGGTCCTGAGTTCGATCCGTGGTACCAAACTAAAATAAAATATCAAGCCTGTGGACTTATACATATATATAAAAATAATGTTTGATCAGAAATAGCCCAAATATTAATTGATTACCTTTTTGTTAATTTAACTGTATATTAACAAAGACTGAGAAAAATGTAGAGGGAAATGTTCTTTTTCTCTAAAATTGCTTAAGTCCATAAAATATTTCAACAGAGTGAGGAATACAATGTTCTAAAAATTCTTTTGAGCAAAGCATGTAGAATTAGAATAATTTACAGATCTGCCTAAGGCAGGCCCTTGATCAAACATAGAAATTATTCCCGAAGTGGGTATATCAGAATGACTTCCCTGTAAATCGTGAAAGCTTTACCCAGAGAAATTCCACCTGCACAGCAATACCCTTTTATAAGACATAAAGACCCTGCTTGCTCCCATACTTAGCCTGCCACAGATTGCGTGGGGACAAGGTTGTCTTAGTTACTTTCTTGTTGCTAAGACAGAATACTCGACACTCACAAGTTAAAAGAGGAAAGGTTTATTTTAGCTCACAGTTTGTAGAGGTCTCAGTCCATAGTCAGATGGCATAGCAGAGGAGAAACGGTTCATGGCAGAGCAGGCAGGAGGCAATGAAGCAGCAAGCAGCAGCAGCCGCAAGCCTGCCTTCTCCCTTTCCCTTTATATTCATTCCATCCAGGCTATAAGTCTATTGATTGGTACCACCCACACCTAAGGTGGGGCTTCCATTATCCACACCCAGAACTATGCTAAATCCATTTAGTTATCACAGATCCTTAATCCTAGTATCACACACCCTAGATCCAGCCACCTCTGAAAAGTCCCCCCTATTAGCACATGAGGCTTTGGGGGACATCTAGGTACAAACTATACAGGGGTCTTCCTGTAAAGACCCCTGCCCTGCCTGGACCATTTGCAAAAGTGGAGCTGCCACCTGAGGGAAGCCCTGACTGCTCTGACCCAATTGGTTCCACCACTTTACTAATAGAGCCAGGTATGATGGTATACCTGTGATCTCAGCACTGTGGGATGCTGAAGCAAGAGGATCAAAGGACCCAGCCCAACCTGGGCAACTTAGCAACTCAGCAAGACCCTGTATTAAAATTAAAAATTACAAGGGTGGCGTGGAGATGTAGCTCAATACAAAGGCCCAGAGTTCAGTTCCCAGTAGTAAAACAAACCAACCTGCACCAGTAGGAAGCAAGCTTGTTCCCACAGCTCAGGGGACAGAAATTATGGGACACCTTAACATAGATAAATTCAATCACAGCAACAAGGAACAGGTTCACAGGAAATACTGTGTCTGCCTATCTGTTGCAATACAAAGTCATACATTAAGGGCAAAGGTTAATCTTCGGGTTTCAACAAGTCATTTAACTAGAATTTATGGAGGTAAAACATAAAAACAGGAAGAAAGTTTCTCCATTGATTTAATTTTGTCTGTGAATTTTCTAGAGAACATGTCAGCCAGGACCACAAACCAGGATTCTCTGGAAGGTGGTTTTAGAATCACTGGTCATATCTACTCATTTTGTCATTAGCAGCACCCTTCTTGTGACATTTCACCCTCAGTTTAGCAAACTGAAGTTTGTCCTTGTTATTCAGGCTACTGAGAGACCTTTCTGTTCCCACACCTCTTTCCTTTGAGAGAAGGAAGACTACAGAAAAAAAAAAAATTGAAACAGAAGTGATAAAAATTGGTCTTATTTTAGAAGTGGAAACCTCTGCCAATAAATGAAATTGCTAAACAAGAAACTTCTGAAGGGGGAAAAAAACTGCAGATGTAAGGTGAGGGCACTTGATTCTAGTCCCAGCATGGCCACCAACCAGCTTTGCCCTGTGGCTGGTAACTGATAACCCCATCTCTCAGAAAGGAGATCAGACTGTCAGACTAGTTTTTGTTTTTGTTTTTGTTTTTGTTTTTTGTTGTTGTTGTTTCTTGGTACCTGGAATTAAACTCAGGACCTTGCCCTTGCCAAGCAAGCGCAGCACCCCTGAGCTATATCCCCAGCCCCGTTTTTTGTTTTTTGTTTTTTTGATTTGTTGGGTTTGGGGTTTGGTTTTTTGAGTCAGGGTCTCATTTTGTAGAGCAGGCTGCCTTGAACACACTATATAGCCAGGGCTATCCTCGAGCTTGAGATGATCCTCCTGCCTCAGCCTACTTATGCTGCGATTATAAGTATGTGCCACTATGCAGACTAAATGACTTTTAAGACCCAGTTCTAACCTTTGATGGTGCTAAATACTTCATTTCCTAATTTCCTTGCTTCAAATCTTGCTCATACTGCATTTCTGGCCTTCCTGAAAGGCCACTCTGCCCATGCCCAAGGCCTCATTTCCCAAGTAGCCATTAGCCCTGACCTTGGCAATCACCTGTCCTGTCTGGGTCCCCTTTGGCCACTCAGGGGTGAGGAGGAGAAGATACCTGGCTGCTTCCTGCCTGCCTCACAGGGGTTATAAAGGCCAGTGCCATTTTACAAAGGCCGGATTCTTCCAAGGAAGAACCTGCCTGGGTACAATATTTCCACTCTCCAGCTGTAATTATTGCTATAACATCCAGGCGTCATGAGGGATGAGAAGGGAAGGAGCGAGTGTAAGCAAGCCTTATATGTATGGTAATGGCGTGGAAAGAGGCCTCAGAAACCTCAGAGAGGCCTACTTCCTCTACAGAGAAAGACAGAGAAACCAAGAAAGCTGAAGGGGCAGACCCCAGGCCGTCAGCCTCCCCTCTGGGGTGGCCGGAGCTGAAGCGCGGCTCTCCTGGCTCCCAGCCCAGCATTTTCTCTGCACATCTGAATGGAGGCCAGAGAGCCAGAACTGAGTTTTCAAAGCCTGTGATGGGCTGGCCTCTGGGAACTGAGATATGTACGCAAAATCTACAGTGAGCCAATGAAGAAAACCTATCCCCTATTCTGCGCGGACAGGACAGTGTATGAACACTGAGGGAGCAAAACTACCCAGCACCCGGAGGAGCCTGAAAAGGCCGCTCCTCCCCAGCCCGCCGACTCCAATTCCTGACTAGGCACAGGCGGCTTGGCGACAGCCTGTGGGTATGTGGGAGCACACAGGCACCCCAGACTCCCTGCCCACACAGGCAGGGGTAGTTCAGCTTCCTTCGTAGGCCAGCTTCGGAATAGCACCGGGGAAGGTCCTGCCAGGGCCGCTCTGGGCTGGAGGGAGAATGAAATCTGCTTTCTTTGCTGCTGCTCGTCTTTGTCAATCACCTTTCATCCAGAACCCAGCTCTGTGACAGCTCTTCCGTCCCATCAGGACGTCTGCTGTAATCCCATTTATTTGTTCACCATGTGTTAAGAGAGCACTAATTATATATGGGGTACAAGGGAGCCAGAGAGAATGTAGGATTTCAGGAGACTCTTTCCTTTTGGAGTTTTCCTTTAAATGGTACAGAGTTTTGGTGTAGGTGTAAGTGTGCATTTGGGGGGGTGGTTAGCTTTATCAAATCTGTTACCCTAAAACAATTAAGAACCACCACAAACCGGGCATGGTGGTGCATGCCTGTAATTGCAGCACTCTGGGAGGCTGAGGCAGGAGGACTGAAATTTCAAGCCCAGTCTGGACAACTTGGCAACTTAGCCAAAGCCTGTCTCAAAAAAAAAAAAAAAAAA